GCGAGTGTTTTAAACTAAACAAATTAAAAATATGATTAAAAATTGCACCTGGCATTGCGACCGCGTCACAATAAATAATTGCCGATATATCGAACACTTCCATCCCGGTGTTTTAAAAAATTGATCTTTTTCACATCGATGATATTTTGACGGCATCTCGAGTAGTAATTTCGCAATATATTGGTTATTTTATCCGACCTCATTTTGGACCCGAAAAGTATGGAAGCTACTCGAGATATATTCTACCATTTTCTGTAAGTTATACATATTATACAAACTTCTAGACACCGATAACAGAGTGCCCACGTTACTGCGCTTGATTTTGACATACTATATCCATTCATTAGGCTGCAACCGTGCTTCTGCGCCCTTAGAGACATCTTACTGGCCAAGAGTAGCTTATCGGCACAACGCAAACTCGTTACAACTCGATCTTTAGGTTCGACAACAGAACATACATGCAAAAAAGGGGAGTACACGTTCGGGCCACTTATGTGAATTGGTAGTGCGGCAATCAGAGAGCGAGGTCATCCCCAGATTTACACCCGAAACCATTATATACAGGAGGTACATTGACGACGTGATTCTCATCCGGAATAAGGAGCCAAATGTCAACGACTTTTTAGACAGCACGAATATAAACTCACTCTCAAACTAGAACAGTTGTCAACAACTAGTGAGCATTGTTTAGACATTACCATTCAGCTCGAACGCGAGATTGAGACCAGCCTGTACTACAAACCCCACTTTTTGCCACTACACATACCGGCAGACTCCGAGGGCCCTTATCCGTATAAGACTGCGGCCTTTCTGGCATTTACGCACAACTCTAGATGGGAAGACACTGTCAAGGAACTTAAACACCTAGGAGACATTGCCGCAGAACGTGGGTACAAAAAAGACCTAATTCATGGTTTGGCTCGTGACTTCTATCAGCAACGCACCCCTACGGACCAGAGCACCAACGTGTATCCTAAACAGGACCCTAACGCAAGCCACATTCATAGTGTACAAAAAACTTGCGTTCCTTATATAGGAAAATTGCCCGAAAGAAGGGCACCAAATTGGCATACAGAAAGACGCAAACAATATACTCGTTACTGAGGAATGCGAAGGGCACACCGGATAATTTTAGAGCATCAGGGGTGTATAGTGTCCCGACCAGGGATCACAGGTTCTAGAGGGATTTGGTATAAATAGGGTAGACCAAACGTTCTATACAGAAAAGAATCGTGGAACACAAATATGACATCGACAAAAGAAGGCACACCACCGCCCCGTCAACCTACGACACGGACCGGGGTGCAGGCCGACTTACAAAACACCAGTCTTATAAGATCGTTCCAGACAAACCACATCAGGGCCCTGGAAACCCTGGATATACACAAAGCTAGCGGGTGGGGGAAGCGTATAAATTTCAAAGACAGTAACGCGATATCGTACGCGTGTGAGGAGCAACACCATTAATAATTGCATATTTAGATACATTAATTTTAGTATATTATTTCAAATCTTTGTTCTTAATTCCATACTGGTTAAAAGTTTGTATTCAAAACGTTCGAATCTTAGCATTCCATATTTAGAACTCGTGTGATCCGAGAACCCGAGGCACATGTTGGTTAAGATGGAAAACATTGGTTGGATCGTGTATCGTATCTTACCGGAAATTAAAGGTTTAGCAGCGATATATACATATTATTTTACTTCTCTAATCGATGATAATTATTAAATAGTCCTCGCGTTTGATACGTCTAGAATTTCACAGCCAAAGCTAAGAACATTGTCCACGTAGCTACGGAATCTAAACGCACGGTGCGATACAAAAATAACCGCGTGCTTAGAGTATATTTCCGGTTCTTAGTTTATCGATTCTCTTACCGTCAATATTTATTGGTAAATTTAAGATAAAACGAGTGTCCTAAAATACTTGTAGAAATTTGCTGTTTTCGTCTTCTTACAATAGATATGGTTTCGCTAACAGTTATAAAACGACAGTTTACTCGAACGAACAAAATTTTCAAATCTTATAACTGAGATGAATCGATAATAATAGCTATAATCTAATAATCTTAATCTTCGCCATCGTTACTCTTTGCCCGAGCCACGCCGGGCTCATCCGCTAATTTATATTTATTTCAAAGATTCTTGTACTGTACTTGCGCTTTTGAAAAATATCCAGAGAAAAGATAATTTCCAGAATATTTTGAAAACGATATAATCGGGATCAAACGATTTTATTATATTTAATAAGGCGTAACTCGGAAACTTTCGGGCCGGAAAATCGGACAGAGCGTGAAAAACTACTAGTAGAATACCGGATAAATACACTATACAGTCGACCCCCCTATAATTACGATTCCTATAAAACTACGAAAAAATATACGTATTTTGGAAATGTTAAGTCGGATTAGTGTAGAATCGATTAATTTTATGGAAGAAAACCTTTCAATCAGCCGTAGTCCGTAAACTTGACACGTGTCGGGCTGTGATTGGAACGACTTGTAAGAAATCGGATTCCTAATAAATTGGAACGTATCTATATCTTATAGGGGGGTCGACTGTATTTTAATTATATTCGTGTTCCGCTCGAAATAAAAAATTTTGCGGATACCAAGTCGAAATGGAGAAAAGCCAGACGGAAAGTTTTACCAGAAGCGACCGATAAAAGGACGAAACATTTTATAGGAAATGCGGACGCCATAAATAAACATAACCCATCGTTTTCTTCGCGGTTTTTTTGTTGTTCTTTACCTTTATCTTCTCTTTTCCAACGTCCAGTTCGACAGAAAAACTTTCTTCCCCGGCAAGGGAGCGGTTCCTTCCACGGTCGAACCCCGGCTCCAGTTAGACGATATTCTCCCGAATAAAGAGACGGGCTAGGAGGATGTCCCCATAATTACCACGAAAGCTCGATCGTTCCACTTTACATTTGCCAACAAAAAGGTAAATTAAACGGTTTTAAAAATCTAACAACCAACGGCGTTATCGTGTTTTATTGAAAAAATAACTTTTATGTTATTAACGATAATCTATATATAAATGGACGTGTGTGTCCCCATATTTCACTTTTCAGCCAAAACTACACATCGCACATGAATGGTATTTGTATGTGGTAGTAGCTCCGAGTCTCCATTCGTGCACTATGGTGGTTGTCTCTCGATAGCTGTAAGGGTACGGGAGATATGGGCTTGAAAGTGGAAGATTTTCTATTTCGATTTTTAAAATTTTCGAATTCGAATTGGTTCGATTATAGAACGATTGTAAACGTTCCAGAAAATTGATCAAATTGAAAATAGTTGGTTTGACTGGACGTAAAAATTCTCTAATTAGTCTGGAAACGGGGGACCTAATTCTTGCATTCTGTGAAAACGGGTAAGATTGGCTATAATGTAATAATCTTAATCTTCACAATCGTTACTTTTTGCCCACAAATAAAAGCCCAGCGAAGCGGGTCCTTGCAGCTAGTAAATAAATAAAATTGAGTCCGGCGCCATCCTACGATATTCCGTGGTAAAAACTTTATATTTTTAACTACTATAAAACGGCAAAAAGGTTAATTTTGGGTTAGAGACGCGTTTTATTAAAAAACCGTAAACAGGTTATTAAGTCGGCGGCGCCACCGCCCCTATCTCCCCGCCCCCTCGACCGTCAAAATTTAATGGTACGGATGTCCTAACATCCGAACTACCCTGCCGATTTTATAAAAAAGTAGAGAACAAGGCACAATTCCAGAAATGTGCCGAGGCCATAAAAAATTACAAGTTGAGAAATAAGGAACGAACATTATACGGCGTTATATTCGAACACGGGTAACCGTCACCCAAATTTATCCCCGGATATCAGATTGGCATCTTCGAAAATGGCCGGACAACACCGTTAAAATATTAACCGTTTTTCGGGATTTTTTAATACGCAAGTTTAGCCGGCCGCCGGTTTCACCGCACGGCGAAATTTTCGTAAAGTTACTATTGCCCGACCGTCGGCAGGCGCGCCACATTTTCGTTGGCAGTTAAATTTTAATCAAAAGAATATCGTCCACTCGGCGTCCGTTTTCTGTTCGAACCCGGGTCGAAATCGCGCACCTTTTTCCACCGCGGGACGTCCCATCCAGAGAGGAGTTTCCGGGACTCAACCCTACCCCGTCCGAGTTAATCGTCTTCGTTTAATTTTAATATTTTACTCTCGCCGCCACACTCCAAAAAACGAATTTCGTTCGACGTCTAAGGACCGGCTGGGGTACGAAAAAAATATAAACGAAAAATAAATAACCACAAATTTAAAAAAATAAAAAAGAACATTGTATTGAAGTTTATATTCTCTATTATTAATAAAAATTTTATCCGACATTACTTACGATTTGTTCAGAAGCGACTTATTTAAATAGGGCCCCGATGAAAATTTTGTCCGGGACCCGCCACGGGTTTAATTCGGCACCGCCCCATTTTTTCGTTTCCAAAAAGAAGAAATTTTCGGACTCTCCCACTAGTTACACTGGCATTACGTCCGACGTGTCAATCCGTCTCTGTTTGGACCGTGGCGCACCGTCCAACCCGGGAGAACTTTGCGCCGGGCGGATGCTAATTTTGTTCTCGTCCAAAGGCCGAACGGGAAATGGAAGAATGCCACTGGGCCCGGGCGAATCTTCTCCCTGGCTACCGGAACCGCCCGGTCTTCCGCTAATAAAAAGTGACGGAAATACTTCGGTTCACTAGCTACGTCCCGCCTTTCGCGTCCCGTGCTTGCCCGGGCCGAGGAAAGAGGAAAGAGACGACGGACCCGGACGACGGGTTTATTTAAAATAATAAAAAATAAGGCGGCGGAGAGAAGAGGTGAAAGGCCACCTCCTTCCACTCTGTACACGAAGGGAAGCGAAGCTGCGAAGCGTGCGTGGGAGCCGGCTTCTAGGGCGCCGCCGTTCGACCGGCTATCCTCTGCCTGCAATGAGAAACGAAGGGGTCAGTAGGGAAAGGGCGGGTGGCGGGGAGGAGCGCGAGAAACGCTCACCTCCTCTCTTCGTTCTTGGACAGAAGCAGCTCTTCGGTGGCCGTCAGCTCGGCCCTGGCCCTCTGCACGGCCGCATCGTCTCCCGTCTTCTCCAACTCTTCGATCCGGCCGTTCAGCTCCTTGGACCGGTCCCGCAGCTGCTGGATGGAGGCGTAGGCGTCCTCTTCGTCCTGAAACGACCGCCACGTCACTACCGTCCTCCTCCCGGCCGCCACCGCGCGCCGCCACTCACCTTGGCGTTGTGCAGGCTCAGGTGAATCAGCAGGGACGCTAGCTCCAGTTCTTCGCCGTATTCGTTCTTCAGCGCCACGCTGCGGTAACCTGATACGGAGAGACGAAACCGAAACACTCGGATTAAATTAAATGTAAAGAAGCCGATTAAAAACCCGAATCGTACGACACGTGGCGTGCTGGACGAATCGGATGCGGGTATAAAAAAGTTACCTGTCCTGAGGCAGGTGACGGGATAGGTGGCCTGTCCCAGGAAGTTGGGGTCTCCGAACATGTCTTCGTCCTGGACGACGAACCTGAGAAGAGAGACCTGGGGATTGGCCACGTACACGTCGAACGTCTCGTTCTTCCAGCAGGGATTCAGACCATTGTCCCCTGAAAGACGAAAAACACGTTATTTCCAAATTCCCGTAAAACAATGAGAAAACGGACGTTTCCCGTGCTAAAATAACAGAGGAAAAAACGACGTCCGAAGGATGGAAAGTTAAATTTTCGTTGTTACTAGTTTCCATCCAAGCTAATAGACTAACCGTGGAGATTGATTGTTTCTCGTCCTCTAAAAAATAAATATACAGTAAAAGCCGATACTACGGACTTTCTAGTTGCAAAATATTAAGTACAAAAACAATAATAAGATTGGTGTTTCAATCATTTCTTGGCATACTTTTCACGTTACTCCCGATTTGGGTCGGGTTTTCCCATCGACTACTTTCGTTCCATTTGGATTTAGCATTCTGTACCGGTGACAAATATCCGATTTGTGGCGTAAAGCCAAACTACTGACGATAAAAGGAAAAGCTTTAGATTTATTTATCTGTCCCTCTATTTACTCAGAACATTTTTCCAGAAATACTCGTTCCCATGGATTAGTTGCTCTGCACTTTTTTGCACGGTGGCTTTCCTTTAGTGCCGTTAAACCGGTTCAAAGCCGAAACGAATTAAAGAAAATTTAAGTATTTTGTTTGTTTTTTCCAGTTAGTTAATAGAGAATTTTTCCCAGTCGAGGGAACTGACAAAAATATAGAAAAAAGACAAAGCCAGATAATTGGGTTAGAAACGAGAACACAAATCTTAGACGGTCCGGCGTGGGCGGGTACGACTTACGACCACGGCAACTCTACCATTCGAAAAATTAAAAAGAACGACACTGCCGTAGGATAATCCAGCCGCTGTCGGGCACCCGGGGTGCAAAAGGCTGGAGGCACCGCTCAGGCATTATCCGTTTGGCCGAGATGCGCCACTGGTCCGTGGTTTTATCTTAACGGTAGAAAATAACCCGGATAATCGACTGCCTGGGAACAAGGCGAAACGAAGACGATAGCTGGGGCCATATTCGGGTCACTGTCTCTGGTCTCTCGTAAGCCGGTGGCTGTTGGCTAATCCAAATGATTAGCCAATCAGCGACCGGCTTGCGAGAGACCAGTGACCAGAATATAGCCCCTGGTCGTTCTGGGTGTTACGGGTAGCTGTAGCCCAGTCGTTCTCCATATTGCCCCGTCGTCTGTGGCAGAAAGTTATTTTTTGGCTGTAATTGTCGGGGCCTTTAAATAATTGCTAACTGTGGCGCCATCTTCCAGGCAAATTGCCAGATAGTTTCCCCGCGTTTCTTTATACAGCGCTCGAGCCTAGCTTTACAGCGAACACACAGAAACTGGTTTCTAATTGGCCAACACTGCTCGTGACGTCATTTCGCTACACTCTGGCTGCATAAAGAAACGCGGAATTTGTCGTTTTCGAATTTCTTAAATACGAAAGTAAGTTTTTACTTCGTATTCGCTTTATGGTAATTTTAATACCTAAACGTCAGCATATTTACAGCACATCGGTTAATTTTAACGGCAAGTCCGAAACTTTTAAGAACAACTTTTACTAACGCCGTATCTAATCGATCGATTATTATTATTCGTGTTAATGGTAAACAAACTAAGTATTAAACATCGTTTTTGATGCGCTTTTTCCATCTCGGTCTCAAACTTTCTCCCGAGCAAATTGCCAACAATAATTTGTTGTATTTCAATTTCTTAAATACGAAAATAAATTTTTACTTCGTATTTGGTTTACGGTTATTTTAATACCTAAATCACTTATTTACGGGAGATCGGTTAATTTTAATGGGAAGTTTGAAAACTCGGGTGGTCTCGAACTTTTTCCGGAACAGTATGCACTGTACAGTACTTTTCCACGCAACTTTTCTCGTGTAAAAAGGTACAAATATATATTCGCGGTAACAGATCTGCCAAAACCAGATCCGTTCTAATGTGATTCTACTGTACAGTAATGGACAGATTTCTTCGGTCTGGTGGTCGTCTGTTATATCGAGCTTTTACTGTATGTACATTTTATAAGTATCGAAGTGAATAAATAAAAAAACCCATTATGATAAACTGAGAAAGGAAAGATCCCGATTGCCACATCGAGTAATTGGTTCCGGAGAGATTACCGATATTAGAAATCATACTTCGTTCTGCAGCTTTCACATTTCTGTCACATCGTCGGCGAGGTGGAAATGCAATACGTGCAGTCGATGGTAAGAATAAAAAAAGTGACGGGCATAACCTAGGAACGTCGTAGGTGTGACAATAATGAAGAGAAGAAAGACAATACTCACTGATGATTCCAGTTTTGTACTTATTTGGTTCGGGGTCGGATCCCACCACTTCGACTTCGACAAAAGGACTGATGATTCCCCTTCCCGATTTCATTAGATGCCTGGCTGCGATTATCTAAAACGTAAAATGGTACCAACTTGTCAATTCTGTCGGTAAAACGTGCGATGGTATTGCGGAAAAGGCGGAAACTCACTTTGATGGACAGACTGATGGGATCTATGTTACACAGACTGGTTCGGTCGTGGGGATTGTACTTTTCGTCAAACATAAAATTAGGCCTCAGCACAAAGCCACATCTAAAATTGATAAAGGAGTTGATTTAAAAACACTCCGAAACATTCTTATTTTAAAAATTTAACCAAACAATTTGTCTGCTTTGAACTGATATTGACGATACAGTAATTATCTTTTTTTTTTTTAATAATTAAAAGCATAAAGTTTCAACCAGCATATCGAATAAACTTACCTGCCATTTTGAAGGAATTTACCTTGATTTAGTTGCATGGGTCTATCTAAAAAATTAATACGTTTTAAACAAAATACAATATTTGATCAAATGAATAATTTCATATTTTTTGTTTTACATTACTGCAGTTGTTCACATCTACAGTAAGAAGGTATGCACATAGTTTAAGAATTTCATGTTATTTCTCTATGCTTAATATAAATTAAAGTTTATAACCACATACACAAATTTCAAATAGATTAATAAATTTTGGAAATTGATGACGACAAACAAATACATTACAAAAAATATTATATGCAACTGAAATAATATTTAATAATGAAAATGAAATTTGTACACAGAAAATTAAAGTATTTAAGCAAACAAATGTTATATATATACACACACACACACACACACATATAGGCCTATATATATATATATACCGCCACTCTGGGATGTAAAACATCCAAAGACTTATAAGCTAAACACTAAATTTTCAGATGCCCATTTTTTGGAATCGCTTGAAAAGTGGATCCTGTAATTTGGACGAGGAGCTGTTTGCGTTTAACGCTACATTCTCACCACGTTTCGTTTGTATTGGAGACCAGAACGTCTGGATCTCTCCTTGTAAGTGACAGCTTAACCTGTTACTTTTGCTTTCCAGACGCCAATCTACCAGCACTTGCATTAATTAGTAAGTGAAACTAGTGACGATAAATAATTTGAAGTGGCGAAAAAATTAAAAACTGGCGAAATGGTGACGATATTTTTAAATTTTCCACAGCAACCCTTGTATATATGCAATGTTAGGGTGAAAGCATAAGTCAGCTGAGAGCTGTGGAGAATGAGTACTAAAGTAGCTGTCATCATCAATGAGCAATATGATTAAATCTAAATTTATTAATTTATTAGTAGCTCTATAAGCAAAGATTAAACAGAGGTTGGGTAGTATAACTGATAAGACATCTGCATGGTAAGCAGGTGTTTGGTGACCATTGGAAAGCCTTGAATCACAAAAGATAGACTATTCATTTCAAAACTAGGAAATACATTCGCAAGCATGTCATTATAAGATATAACAATGTAAACAGTTGTAAGCTTGATAGTTATGTTAAATTTAATTATAATTATTAAATTTAATACGAGATGGTGTCTAATGCTTACATATAAGCCAAATTAGTTAGCATTTGGTAACGAAGTTCCAAGGATTAATTTTGTTGATTAAATCAATATTATGACCATACAAATAAATTTGGGTCTATGCAGAATTGTCTCTTGTTGGACAATTAAAAAGGATAATTCTGCATAGACCCAAATTTATTTGTATGGTCATAATATTGATTTAATCAACAAATTAGTTAGCATTTAATTATTAACAGTAGCAATCATTTGGCTGTTGGTACAACAATGCGTAAACATTGTTATATCAAAAGCCAAACAACCAAAAATGCTCCAAAAATACCTTTAACACGCAGCTTATTTTGCTACCATACCGAATGTTTTGGTCAGCTTCACTGACCTTCTTCAGGCTCGAACACAAAAACTTTAATTCAAACCGAAAATTCTTTTGTCAAACAGACATTCTAGAACACTTTTTTAAAAACAAATTATCTTAGACTTGTAAATTTGAATGTGCCAGTTTGCTCTTTTAAACTTGCAGTTGGTAGGAGCAGTTGAAGATATAGGAGATATAGCCAAACAACCGAACATGGTAAGCATATTGACAAAGCATATTAATTGAAATGTCATTATAAACAATGTTATTTACAACAACAGAGTAGTTGCTATTCACTATTTCAAGACGGCAGAAGAAACTTAGCCGGCAACCAATATCAGCAATGGACATTAGCACCAAATCTATCAATTAACCTGTCTGACAATTGATGACGATATAATTTAAAAAGTTAATAGTTATAATTGATTTTCAAAAGGGTCATTTTTACTTAATTGACAAACACCAACTGTGTATATAAAAACGTGCTAAGATACTACACGCCATTCTAGTGGATATTCATGTTTTGCATATTAAAATTTTCCGTAGTGGCAGGTTTCAATCTGTTGTAGGCGATGATGTTCGTGTTACTGGAACAACATTTTGAGTAACTAGCTGTACAGAGCTATGTGATGCTTTACATAAAACTGGATCAAAGAATTCTACTTTGCTTACTGGCAATGATCGTCAGTTGCACTACCATATTTCTTTGAGGTTTTTGACTTAATGACATATTCAAATTATATTCAATATTATGTTAGGTTAATATATTTTATGAATCTGATATTTCATCAAAATAGACACTTAACCTTCATTTCTACAATTTTTAATTCAAAATAGATTCTATTTTAAGTTTACTGTAAAATGAACTAAATGTATTTGGTATTTGCACACTAGAATATATTCTTTATATTATGAACTGATTTTTAGAAAATATCTAAAATTTCTTAATATTTTGTACCACCATCCTTCTGCAATTACCACCACTCCACAACTTCTAAAATCACAAGGAGTAAAACTTAATTTCTTATTGGCCATATAAAATAATATAAATAACACCTTTTTAACAGTCCAGCAAAAACATTTAATTCATAAAAACATTTTGGACGAGGAGCTGTTTGATTTTATTTATTTTTGTATTGCATAAATTCGAATGCTTTGTTCTTTTTAATATTAGAATAACTGATGAAGACCACTAAAATTGGTTGAAAACGTTTTTATGAATTAAATGTTTTTGCTGGAAAGTTAAAAAGGTATTATTTATATTATTTTATATTTCGATTTAGTTCCAAAAAGAGACTTAGAATAACTGATGAAGACCACTAAAATTGGTTGAAAACGTTTTTATGAATTAAATGTTTTTGCTGGACTGTTAAAAAGGTATTATTTATATTATTTTATATTGTATGATTATTTTACTTTTTGTAAAAATTATAAAATAGCATTTAATAGTATACAATAAAATCTTCTAGCACTGTTGCCATCGTTAGTATTTCCTTTTCCTTGCTTCAGTGTGTCCAGCAATAGTCCTGTTTCTGACTTAAATCCGTCTGTTATGAATTTCTTTCTAGCCGTGACATTTTTTTTTTCACTGTCATTTCTGTACATTCGATCTACGTAATATATCCAATATGTAAAATCCATTCTTTCAATCTTATTGACAAGACTATGTCTTGTTTATAAAATCGTACTGCCCAATGTTCTTACTAGCATAGAGGTATGAAGGAGTACATGTCGAGAGTTGATATTTGGCAGAGAATATTTGGTGCCCAAATCATTTGCGCATAAAAAAATCTAGACTTGTAGGTAGTCAGGGGACCGAGAATCGAGTCAAAATAAAATACAAAATGGCAACCCTCTTCTACAAACAGGCAAAACAGCCATCTCACCCCACCGAAGTCGGGTAGAGGAGAGTACCACCCACAGTCATTCTAAGAAGTAAACTCTGATCTTAGGACTGAACACGTAGTTTCTTCTATGTTAAATAAAATTTGTAATCTAATTTTGTAAATTTGGGAGTGCTTCAAATACAATATTAAAACAGGGTGTCGTTACAAGTAGGTTTTTTAACATTATCTAGTACTGTATAGTAAAATTGCGGGACCGATAAAAATTTGACGTTATATTAGGGTTGTTGTTACATTCGATGACATTATAATCGGGTTAAACTCTATATTGTTTGTGCAAAATAAAAAAAATAATTTTGGATGATACAATAGCCACAATTATTTTTTTCAAAAACGGGAACTTTTCGTTGTGCATCGACAAAAATTCAATCCAGGCCGACACGCAATGGAGAGAAATTTTGAAATTAGATAGGTTAATTTCATTGAAAATGCATCGTGGATGACCTCGTGGTCATGGCCAGCGAAGTTTGAACGATCGCGTCCAAAAGCAGTGATACCACAGAAGATTGGAGAATGAGAATGAGACTCACCTTGAGCGTCAAAGTGATTCCGCTTAGTAGTGAGTCTCCGAGACATAGTCTTGTCCCAAATACAGTTTTGCCATTTTACTTTTTTGGCNCACTAAAATTGGTTGAAAACGTTTTTATGAATTAAATGTTTTTGCTGGAAAGTTAAAAAGGTATTATTTATATTATTTTATAATTCAATTTAGTTCCAGTAAGAGTTTATTGTTTATTGGCCATAGCTAACAAAAGCAATGATTATGTTTCGAAACACTCAAATGACACTAACCACTTTAATTTAGCAATATGATTCTCGACAATAACTTTTGTGAATTGTGTCTACGTTCATTAAACTAGTTGTTTTAAAAAAATAACTACAGAAATAATATTAATCTGCAAATATTTTATTTATGCCAACATGTTTGATAAAAAACATTCTAAACAAAACATAACTGAGAAGCATTTGATAGAAATGATTTACCTGGAGTTTGATAATTTAAGGCCACCATCTGACAGCCACAATTCCACATTCGAACGGGATCGTAATTGGAAGAATCTATGCGAGCTCCCTTCGGGTAGACACGGCTAAATTGATTCTCGTGATACTTAAACTGTGGTTAAGTATATTCCATATATATTTAACAGATAAAACAGTCTAATAAGAGAATTAAAAACTATTTAATTACAAGTTAAATAAATATCAAACCTTTAACCTTTCATTGTTTATGATTTGTAAATACTAATAAATCAATTTGTTAGCTAAATTTCCTATTAATGATTAATGCATCGATTGTCACTACTAAAGCCAATTTTACTGATATCGCATTTTTTACTTTCTTATAAGTGAGTCTTTTAGATCCAGTATTTTGGCCAGTGGCCCTCTAGGTTCCGAACACAAAGGTTTAAAATGCAGTTTACTATAATTTGTCTCATTATTGCAACTTTTAAGTAATTATTGACATTTTGCATCATTTTCAGTCATTTTTCCACTTTTCTTGCTTTGAACTTTTAACAAGTTTCAAGTTATGAATTTCAACAAAATATTTCATATGCATAGATAACACTGTGTTTTCATCACTGTTTGTGTATGTTCAATTTGTACTTCCTTATGCTAAAATCTATTAAATATGTACACACGAACAAAACTCAAAGCTTAAATATGACAAGTCCATTACTAGGTGTTAATGGAATTGTAACAGTCACTCATCAATGCTAATGAATTATCAAGCATTTGAAATCAAAACTGTAATGAGTGTGAAATTATTGTCCAATGTGCATACAGAACTCACTTGTATGCTTTATGCATTACACATTTAATGTGTTTGAAGATTTCATACCCATTCACTGTACTGTACTTTCTGATTCTAATAAAATTCCAAGAGTTACCATGTATTTGATAGTGAAATTAAGAGAATGGATTACGCCAAATAATATAAGCTGAGAAATTCTTGCCTTTAATGGCAGTGCAATATAATCCCAGAGAAGAATGTCTCTGTGACCAAGAAGCTTTATGTCAACAATCACTTTAAGTCTGGTAATTTTCCTTTGTGCTCATTTTTAATATCATTTGGTACTGTAAGTATGAAAGACATAAATTATACAGAATGCTTTTCTTTACCAAATTTTTTGTAACAAATGCACACTTCACAGCTGGTATTCTAAAAGGTCAATGGAATCTACGCTGATCTGGAATATTAGCAGCAGTATATGGAGCAAGTATTTCAAAGACTTGTGCTATGGATTCATAGCTGCAGGAAAGAACATAAATATCCAATATAATTCTTCTCCCAATTCTTGAAGAAATATACTAAAAAAGTGACTTAATAAGAGCATCTTGAGAAAACCATATTTACTAGGTGTTACAAGGAAACCATGCAAATAATTAGAACCTGTCTGGAAAACATAATACAGACAATAATGATGGAACAACAGACAAACAAGGTATGTAAATCAGCTGTATTGCATAACATTGTGAAAACAGTTTTTCTAGATATGAGTTAGACTAATTTGTTTTGGGTCTCTATGTGCAGGGCTCCTACTCAAATTTTTGTTTTAAATTCCATGACTTTCCCTGACCAACTCCATACAAATTCCCTGACCCTCATGTCCCTTACTGTATAACACATTGACAAAATAAAAACAGCATATGACTTACTATGCACTTACGCTGTTGCTTCTTCAACCTTTTAATTAGTTATTTTTGTATTTGTATTTTGTTATCTTTCTTTAAATCAGTTCATTAACATCTTCCCTCAGTGTAAATGGTAATTATGAGAGATTCAGATAGAGTTAAAGTATATCAAAAAAATATATTTAATATTAGATTATTAAGAGTATACAGAATTTTCTTTCAAATTTATACTATTTTTACTAAATTTATACTTCTTAAATCCGAAATTGTAAGTAAATGTAAAAATTAAAATTAATTCATTTGATATAGTTTGAAAAGTTTAAAGAACTGCTTACAGATCTGTGCCTATGGACCTATTGAAGGCTAAAAGAAAGAAGATGTAGAAGAACTTTATAATCAAATAAAAACAAAACCTTTAAATACCAGTAACAGAACTTTAATAAAAAATTCTGAATGTTTTCAGCCTTCACCAAGGCCTGCCTCACGATTTTTAACGAAACAGAATTCCAAACTGGAATGTCAGAACCATAATATTCGAAAAATCAATTTTTAAAATTTCGAATACCTCACAATGTAAGCTAAATTCATATGGTAGATAGACTAAAAATCGTAAATGTATGACCATGTTCCACATATACATTTTTAAGATGTACTGTACATAGTGTATGAGATGAATTAATATAGGTTAACTTTCCCCAAATTTTTTATAAAGGTACTTCCATGCACATGATACCATATTGCAATCCTTAAAGTTAATACACTTGCCAGTCAGGCTGGCTTTATATATTTCAAAAGCCTCTAGGCTATAAATATGGTCCGTTTGAAAGCCTGCCCAATTAATTTGATGTTCTGGAGGTCTGCATGCATGTTCGGGTCAGTGGCATACGTGAACATGCAGGCCTTGGTGAAGGCCAAAAACATTCAGAATTTTTCATTAAAGTTCTGTTACTGGTATTTAAAGGTTTTGTTTTTATTTGATTACTCCAGTAATTTGAGAAGGAGATAGTTATAACTTTATAATGTTATGGGATCAGCAGTAGAAACAAATAATAATGAAAAGATAGTTCTAGCTGCAGGTCTTAATAATAGAGTGGGAACAACAACTACATCTACAGCAGCATTTTAGATAAGTTTGGGGAGAAAGAAAAACCTAACAGCAAGGGCAAAAGACCACTCAAGTTTTGTGCCTGTCACTCACTAGTGCTTACTAATATTCCAACACAAAGAGAATCATAAATTCACATGGAGATAAAACACTAGAAATCTGAAAACCATAATTGACTATATTATTGTAGTCAAAGACATTATACATTTAGCTGAAGATACAAGAGCCTATAGGTGTTTCAAAGTTGATAATGATCATTATCTTGTACTGAGCAAATTAAAGACAGTTATGAATATTAGGAGTAGGAAATGTAGAAAGGTGCTGAAATAGTAATACTTTTGAGGTGAGGTCTAGCAAATAAACAGATTGGATTCTTTTGACATTCCTGTTGTGACAGTTCAGGTTCTAAGAGTTTTGTAAGTAATTGGATTTTCAGATAATTTTTTCAGTTTTTGTGGAAAAATCTAGTAAATATTACTTTCGGTTTTGTTCAGTTTGACTAATTAGTTCTGAGGGTTTTTGTAACTAAGTGTCTTATGCAAATTATTGACAAACTAACTTAGTTTTGTGTCTAGCTAACTCCATTAATTATAAATAGTCATTTTTGTGTAATAAATACTTGCATGCACACGATCCAGCATCATGTTGTCCATAAAAGTGAACACAGCATGAAGACGAGTAATTTGAGTTTTTTCATGAGTTGTCACCTTGCTTTTCTTCTTGCAGACAAGAAAGTTTGTTATTTTTTCTGACCAGAATCCAAAGTCTAGGCCTAGTAATCATTTGATCCTGTTTTCATCTATGTAACACAGCCCATTAGGTTTAATTCCAGGCAGACTAAATGGTATGTTACAAAAAGAAATATTTCAAACAAAATCTGACCATTCTAGGCTTTTGATCAAAACATTTCTTTTATTTAATAAAATGTTGACTTCTCAAAACTAGAAGAATTTATTGATTTATTTACAAGTTTCGTAACCTTTTATATTTATTTAAAGAGAGAAGAAAACATTTTGGAAATTATTCAAGAAAAAAAAACCCTTTATTAACTAGAAATATTATTAAAAGTTTGTCCAAATAAAAAACACTTAATATTTGATTTACGCATTAGATTGGATTTCATAAAAGAGTTTACATGATCTTGGTTGTTCGTCTTCATACTGTGTTCACTTTTGTGGACAACATGATGCTGAATTGTGTGCTTGCATGTCTTGATATGTGCGGTGGTCATTTTGAGCATTGTGGTTGTATGCCATAATTTTAAGTTATAACAGAATATTCTAGTTTGTAGCTTCTGTCCTCAATTCTTGTCTTTTTCCATTTTTAGAATCTTCACCTGTCCTCATTTCTAACATTTCAGAACATCAAGAAAAATGTACTAAACTCACTCCTTCTCTGCACTCTATTTGTAGAAACCAATGAGGTAAAAGCATCATACTAGCAGAACAATCTACAAATGTGCTATTGAACCAGCAGTACTCTATGGGGCTGAGGTATGGGAAAAAACAGTCACCAAGCAACAGAGTAAAAGAAACATCCATCCAATGGGCCTGCCTGCTAACTGTAGCAAGAGCCTACAGAACAGCACCTACCAACACACTCCAGGTACTGGCAACTTAGCTCCCTTAGACCTCAAAATCCTGGAAACATACTGGAATTTTCACCTAAGTAGAAATCCTAGTGGTCTCCTTACAGAGATTGACCTTCCAGCATGTATTAAAAGCATAGCCAAGTACATCATTAAACACAATATGGCACACCCACAGGCACCACAAACTGTACCCACCTGCAGCCAGAATCCTATAAACAATATCCACACCGCTACCCAAGACAACCAGCCACAGTTCAAAATCTTTACAGATGGGTCAAAGACCCCAGAATGCGTAGGGTGTTCTGCAATTATCATTGGACCAAATAAACAAAACATTTGACAGATGGGTGCAAAGTTGAAATGGCATTGTACAGTCAACCAGGCAGAGGGCCTTGAGTATTGCAAGGCTCTCTGCCTGGCAATACTCAAGTTTCCAGTATGTAGACACTCATTTTAACAAGAAAAACAAAACTTCTGTGGAAATTCTTAGTGACAGCAAGACAGCGTTACTACTAGTCCACAAATTAAACACAAAACAGAACATCATTGCACAAATAGTAACCTTCCTCTAGTTTTTATCTGGGAAAGGCCTCAAAGTCTCATTTACATGGATTAGGTCAGTCCTCTCATTCCCCCAATGCCAGATTGGGGGGATAGGAGGGCCGATCTTCTTCAAAGAACGCGGTAAGATCATCAACGGAACCAGTGTTCAGGGAGCTCCCCAGCTGTTGGTTTCATGAGGAACTTAAAAAACTTACCGTCTTGGCTAGCAAGCCAGATGGAACAGCAATACAATTGGAAGAACTACCCATGATTTCCTGCCAGACATTGCAAGTAAGCAAAAGATGGAGTACTTCACCCCTGATTTTTACCTATCCCAAATCCTTACAGGGCACGGGAACTTCCATTCCTACCTAAGAAGATTTCTCCACAAAGGAGACAAAATACAGTATGTGACTGTGGTTCAGGTGAAGACAAAGATCCCCCACGACATAATCTTCACGTGTCCTAAGTTTAGGACAATGAGAAAGACCCTCACCAAGACATTGTACAGGTGTGGCCTCCATTGGCCCTGTGACCCAAAGGACTTTTTCATGAGTAAATGGACATTAAATACTTTAAAGAACTTCATCATGGGCATTGGGGTCATGCCCCTTTGTTCTAGACTGTACCCCTCTCTTCATTCGGAACACCAATTGTAATATGGCCAAGCTGGCCATTTGGGGATTCCAGTCCTGTTACCACCCCACTGGTTCCAGGCCATGTTGGCCATTGGGGGACTCTTTTGTATTTTGTTGTATTCCCACTGTAACCTGGCCGAGTTGGCTGTTAAGGGACTTTTCACATTTATTTTTAGTTATTTGTTTTATTATTTTCACGTTTAATTTTTGTGCTTTTGTACACCAACCCATTCCAGGTTGGTATTTTCAGCAGCTTCTTGGGTATCAAGTCAGTTGCCCATGTGCATAGCTGCCAATTGCATGCATTCCCTGTCTCCCTAGAGGCAATACCATATGCGGACTTATTCTCTGTATATATTTTGACCATACTGTTTTCTGTGGGCTACGCCCCATGTGTTGTAATTAACGTATACTCAATAAATGGAACTCGCCAGCGTCATAGTTCCCATTTCACACTTTCCTATCATTCTTTACGTTTCTTCCCTCTTCTCATTTACTCTAAAACTCTTCATCCTTTCTTTTCAAAAGCTATGCCGTAAGGTTTGGCCTTCAAACACTTTTAATCATATCATATCATGTCCTCATTTCTAATTCAATCAGTTGATGACTGATGTTCTGAACCATCCTGTGGGGAGAGAAAACTTCCCAGTCAAAAAACTGTCACTTCTTCCCTTTAGGCTCATAGTCCTAATGGTTTTCCAACCGGGAAGGAGAGTTCAGACTGGAGAGATAGTGGAGAGGAGAGGTCAATCCTGACCATAGCAAGGGACTTTCTTTAAGGCTTCATGCAATAAGAATCCTGATGCTTCAATTAATTGTTGATGAAGATGGTCTCCTTTAATCTTCAATAAAAAGATACATTAACATCCCCAAAAAGACAAACAAGAAAATTTCACTGAGAATCACAGAAAGTAATCATCTCCATAAAAAAAATCAACTGAGTATAGATACCCTTTCTTTTCCCTTTCCTTTGTCTATTTTAATTTTCCATTTCATCTCTATACTTATAAGTTAGTTTTAAGTTAGTTGTAAGAATTTTGTTTTGTAATACACAGTCATGCCTGTTTACCAAAATTGTAAGGCATGAGAATCTTTGTTTTGTCACATGTGTCCACATATTGGGTTGTTTTTTTTTTGTTTTCTTGGGCAGAGCTGGGCAAATGTCTTAGAGCTGGCATCCAATCTCTTTTTTTAGTGCATTGTGTTATCATTTCTTATTAAATGAACTGTTCTTTTATTTTTGTACTGTCTTAATTGTATTGTATTATCACCCTCGTGGCAATTCAACACAACTGCACTTTTCACGGCATCCTCCAATGTGAGCATAATGTCAGATGCAAGTATCGACGTTCATGTTTCCAATAAAGCTTATTTTCCATGCACCGGATGCAATGTCATACTTTTTCTTTCTCATTTTTCTCAAAAACTGTGGATCATAGAAGTGTGGTTCTTGGATCATTTTTTATATACTCTGAGAGAGAATTCCCACTCTGTAGAATTTATGCAGTCTTGATGGGACATCCTGTATATATATATATTTTCTCTATCATCACATAAACTCAGGCTACTGTTGCCTTTTTTTAGCATTTGGGACTGTAGCTAATAAGTCTAGTGCTGGTTGGAAAGAAAAATACCAGTCAGAATTTTTTCAGGTTTCCTGTCTAGTCCCCAATGATTTACTTCTGGCTTTGAAGCTGGTCAAGACAAACTTTTATACAGGAAATAAAAAAAATAGTTTGAGGTTCCAGTTTTTTGTTAACAATTATAAAATGAATGAATTCATTCTGCATCTTCTTTGCTTGTTGATAAAGAAAAGTGTTTCTTATTTTTTAGTTGAAAATCTTGCACCACTTCTGTTACTAATTTCTTTGACTCCAGTTTTTTCTTCTAATTAGTTTACCAAAGATGTTGACAGTCTTGTCTCAATACTCCCTATAAAAACTTATTTTTATTTCTATTTCTATTTAATTTTTTTTAATCAATTGCCTGATATCAAATTAAAGATCAAAATAAAGATAATTAGATTTATTAATACAATTCTAATTTTATTTCGTTTATTCACAAATAAAACATCAAATGTATGTAAATGCATACATTGTCCCACAAAAATTACTGGCATTTTAAACTTCAAGAAAAAATATTGTAAAATCGACAATATAATTTGTTCATGTAAAGCTGGACAATTATTGGAAACCTTTTTCGCCAATTCTTAACAGTCAAATTCACTCTTTGTCGATTACACTTACGAGTTTCTCCAAATTCTGATTTCCAAATAATCATCTGTTTTCACATGGGAATGAATTAAAACTTATATCGAGCTTCCATGTAATTTTGGAATTTAATTCAAAAGCTTTGCTTTTCCTGTTGCTTTACTCCTGATAATACTCAAGAATAATTCAAACGACCCAGACAAAAGACTTTTGTTTTTAAACACCAGAAGGTGAGAATCCAGTAAAAAATGAATACACGGCTTACAAAAATTATTGCAAAAACGAAATTAATTTTTCACCTGCGTGTATAGGACAACCTAGGTTATTGAAACAATGAAAAATTAATAAAACCTCGTCTTATATGCGAGTATATATGGTAAAACTTAATAGTAGTTAACGTATGTCTAAACATTACTTTTATCAATGAAAATAAAAGACTGAGGAATATTTTAATTAAAAACCATGCTAAACTGCAAAACTAAACTTTGTAGCATTTTCCCAACAGTGTTAAAAACAAAATCATGTAATTCAAATACCATGTAAATCAACAGTTAGGCATATTAACAAATTTTATCTGGAAATTGTAATATCAAACGAGAGGCAGTGAAGATTATTATTGCTTATTTTGTGTATTTCTGTAATTAAACAAAAAAGAAAAATATGATATATAGATATATATATCATATTTTTCTTTAGATTCAAATATATATATAGACTAAATATGTAAAACTGAAAAGGATATTTAATGAAAAATTGGCAATTGTTTGGACTGATCCATTTTTCTACTTTAGTTTCAGGAAAGGAAGACATTTCTGTAAAATTTCCTATTTCTGTAAAATGAAAAATTAATTATTACAAATAAATTTGGAACATTCAATTATACAATTCAAATTAATAATTATTCAAGTATATTAATTATAAATATTAAAATATCCATAATATTTCCGAACAGTAGTTTGAAGAAATTTATCTTAAATTTATTATTCAAACTAGTTTTAGAAATTAAAAAAAAAAAAAAACATAAAAGAGTAACTTCCATTATTTAAAAATTTTACTTAATTATCTTCATAATATAATAGTTATCAAGTATAACTTATGTTGTATATTCTTATAATTAAACTTTCTGTATTTAAGTACTAACTAGAACAGATTTTGATTATTTGCACAAAAATTATATTACCTTCATATTCAATATTAAAATTTTTTACAGCATAATTCTGCTATATTTGGAATACTTACAACATATAAATTTTAAGTTAACAATTTATCCCTAAATATTTTAATACAAAAATATGGAATATTGAATTAATGAAACTAGCTCTAATAAATGTTTTCCCAGATAACATTGGAATGTTTATAGCAGGGAATGTTAGTTATTTGTTTAGAAGACCTCAAAGTCTTAAACCCAATTTTACTAGAAATGAGATAAAACACCACTTATTAAACTGGAATGTTAAAGTAAATACTTCCATCAAAAGCCTTTAGTTATTTTCCAGTATGGGTTAATTCGAAAAAGTTTTTCTGACAAACATTTTCGATCTGCAATTGAAAATCTTCTTTGGGTCTTGATTCTATACTTGTTGACAGAATGCTTAAATCAAACAATGTTGTTTTTTGAAAAATTAAATGAAAGAGATTCTCGGGATATATAAAATTGAAATAAAAGTAACAATAAATATAAAATTACAAAATATACAATTAAAATAAGCATTTAAAGACTAAAATGAATTACACTTCACACCTATATTTAACTATATAACAAAACAGAGAACTTTTCGTTATATTGTCCCTATGTCATGTTACGTTATATTTGGTCATGTGGTCGTATAAGGATTGCCATGTGTATGACAACTGTTTTTGTTTACAAAAGATATGTTGTTGATGTTATTATTATATGAAAACAAACTACAGAGATGAATAAATTCATACAACAAATGAACAACAACCCCTATGGTCTCACTATAAAATTAGACCAAGCCAGCAGCACAGAAATACATTTCCTACATCTCAAAATCAACATCAATAATAACTGGGTCCATAAAAAAGCTTACTACAAGTCAACATACATACCCTCTTTCATACTGGTTAGCTCCCACGACCCTTATATATATAAAATTGCAGCCTTTAGGACCTTAACCAAAAGAGCTTTTACCCACTACAAACTATTCCAACACAATCAAAGAACTAAAACACCTTGGAACGAATAGCCACAATGCACAGTTATCCCAAAATCTTAATCAGAAATTTAGCCAGTACAATTCCCAATAACACTCACAACTTGGATCCTAAAGATGAAAATGGAAACAATCAACATAGAAATACAAGCTGTATCATTCTAGAATATAACAATAATATGCTACACTGTATAAAGAAATAGCAAACCTAAAAGAAACAAAATAAACTTTCAGATGCAATCCTATCATCTTTAACATTCTTAAGAACGGAAAAGATAAGAATAATAATCTTACGGTACCGGGGGTATATGAAGTTCCTTTGAAAGATGACAGATTTGGCTACAAACTTGAATATATTGGTTCCATCACAAAGTCACTCAAAAGTAGCTAAAAATAAACACAATATCAACAAAAAGAAACTAACCACTAGCCCTAGCCACATACACAACAGATAACGAGGTGCAAGCCTTCCTTGACAAGTCTACCGTCATCAAAAGAACAAAATATGACAACTCCATCAAGATACAAGAAGCATTAGATATATTTAAATCTGAGAAAAAAGGGTCATTGCATAAATTTTAAAGATGAAAAACAACTATTGTGTGCATGACAATCCTTATACGATCACGTGACCAAATATAACATAACAACATGACATAGGGACAATGTAACGAAAACTTCTCTGTTTTGTTATATAGTCTTTAAATGTTTATTTTAATTGTATATTTTTTGTTACTTTTATTTCTATTTTATATATCCCAAGAATCTCTTTTGTTTAATTTTTTAAAAAAACATTATTGTTTGATTTAAGCATACTGTCAATGAATATAGAATCAAGACCCAAAGATTTTCAATTTCAGATCAAAAATGTTTATCAGAAAAACATTTTTGAATTAACCCTTACTGGAAAATAACTGAAAGCTTTTGATTAAAGTATTTACTATAAATATCCAATTTACATTATCTCCCCTTATAAATTTTCAATTTAAATATTTAAAAACCATTCAGTGGCAACAGATATGTCACTTCTAGTTTGGCAAGAAATTGAATTTAGGTCTGCTTTATTATCAATGGCATTTGCATCAGACTAAAATGATTGTTTTGAATAAATTTTGATGTTTTGCTATAAATTAACGCCTTGACTGATTCTGTAAGTCTTCTATGTAAAATTCCATACATTTTCAAAGTCCTTTTTGATCACACTGTGTATCAATAATTACAGATTAGTCAATTGATGAATAATTTCTTAACTTTTTAAACCAAATTACTTTTAATATATCAAAAGTAATGTCTACTAGCAGGTCAGCCCAGACAAAAAATAAGAAAAAACAGTAAGATTATTTTGTACTTCTAACCCTTCTATTATATATTGTAGTACAGTGAAAACTGCTTAGGCGACCACCTGCATTCGACGGGCACCTGTCAAAATGGGCAAAAATTTCTGGCACGGAATAGTTTATCCATAGAGTCTTCGTATAAGTTACCTGTATTAAACGACCACCTGTGTAACGCGACCGCGGGCATCGAGTTTTGGTCCGAAACAACATACAACACCTGTAATAAGCGACCACTTTCGCGAATGTATCTGGTCTAAACTATTGTAAGAACCCATCTCAACAACGTTTTCCCTCCTAATATAATAAATTAGTCTAAACTCTTGTTCGAACCCATCCAGGGCACTTCTCCCACCCTCGAAATTAGGTGCAGGTGTTAATAAATTAGTCTAGCAACAAAGAAAATTCATTTCAGTTTGTTGGAAAATGTCCGAAATGCAAAGTGCTGTCGTTAGAAGATCGTATTAAAGTTATCACAACAGCAATTAGCGGCGAAGTTTAACTGTGGGAAAACAAAATTTATTTTACCCTAGACCTACAGTATTTTCCTTGGGGGTGTAAAATATTGTACACGATACAATTAATCGGCTGATCTCATCGTTTGATAAAATCTATTTTTATTTATTTATTTTGAAGCTCATATACAGTACACGTGCGATAAATAGTTTCTGTATCAACCTACCTTATTTCCACGATATTTTTAGAAAAATAATATCCAAGTAATTTTCGCAGGCAAAATATTCAAAAAACAATAAACGCATTAATGCAAAAATCAGTTTTACTTCCTTTTTCGATTCCGCGATTGTAATGAAATCGTATAATGAGAAAAAATAATAAAATCGTTTTATTATTAATTAATAATTTTTCTTATTGTACTTAATTAATTAAGAAAATATTAAATATTAAAAAATACAGTATTTTTAAAGTTAAAATAAGATTAAACTAACGAAAACCAAAAGCAAAGTGATGGAGAGATAGGACGCGCTTGTATATTGATGACGTAATACACGTAACTGAGGAGCGAACGAAAAGAACCGAGTCGAATTAATTAAGTCGGAAAAAAGAAAGTGTGCATTATAATCGAGAAAATGCGAGTATTGTATTAATCTTTAAAATATTGGTGTTAAATCTGTCTTATAATATCATGACGACTCCTGTAAATCGGGTTATCCGATAAGAATAAAATACAATACCAATATAGCCCTATCGTTGAAAAAATTCGCTTATTTTTGCTCACCTCGAGTTTTGTTTAGTAGAAATGGCTAAAAAGTGCGCAAAATACGTACGGAAATACGTTATTACAGGACCACCTGTATTGGACGACCACCTGTCTAAAAGACCACTTTTTAAAAGAACCGTGGGTGGTCGCCATAGACAGGTTTTACTGTATTTGATATGTAACTATGAAGGTTACCTTATGTAAGGGTTTATCATACCAAGTGACCAATCTAACACATCTTAAAAATCCTTTATTCTTTAACTGTACACAATTTAAAGAATTTTTAAAATGTGTTAGATTGCTCACTTGTTGTGATAAACCCTTACATAAGATAACCTTCATAGTTATATAAATCAATACTATAACATAACAAATATTAAAATGAAAACCATATAAAGAGAATTTTATTTTATCCTACCATTGTCATGTTTATTGCGATACTTGAATGATAAAAAAATAGAGCAATTTCATTGGTCAAGTAATCAACAAGTGAAAATATACCATAAATTTTTTCCAATATCATATTTTTTTCTAATGTTAACTCTAACAAACTATACCAATCACAGCTGAATATCAAATGATAATCTGCCAATGAATGAAACTTTACAAAAATGAACCAAATATTTAAACTTGGCACACTTGAAAACCACTTAAATCATACTTTGTGCAGATGGTTAACCTCATATTATGTAATTTTCCTATTCAAATGCCAATATACCACTGGTCCAATAAGAAGAATAAACTGTTGCAGAAGAGGGTTGAAGTTAATTTAACCAAATGTAGTCATTGACCTCCTCCTGAAAGACAGAATGGTCAATGACTGACTACTAATTAATATCGGTCTACTATTAATATTTGGAAAGTGATCCATGTTAGACAGATTGTGATGGCCCCCACATGTGATTGAAGTTGCTAACCTTAACATCCAAGACTTCATGTAAGACTTGTTTAAATAAAAAAATCTTGTAAAAAGGCAAGAATAATTGCTTTTATGCAATCCCATGAAAAACTGGTGAAATCAGGTTGAAAAAGTAAAGTCAAACTAAAACATGTAAGTAAAGAAAATTTTGAAAGTTGTAGCATAAGAATAGTGGAAGCAGATTTGACAGTAAGACTGAACATGCAAATAAAGTTCACCCTATACAGACTACAACTATAGGAAGTTTTGGATGAAGCAATATTACCAAGATAATAAATAGGAAAAATGAATATTGGCACAGAAAAAGACTTTGAGCTCTACTCTGTGCTTTAAAATCGTTGCATGTATGGTACATTGATTTGGCTGAACATTAGAACATTTTTAAGCAGTATCAGTGAAGTAAATTTGTTTTATTGGGATTAGTGTTCTCACTGTTCATAAGGATTTAAATGGAAATTGCAGAGTCTGTGAAATGTTGATTCTCTGGGAGCAGCTGCTCCTTCCACATCATTCAATAGCACTGAAAATTGCACGTTGCTCTGCCTGCAGAACTGTACAGGCCTAATGTACATGCATTTGCCGATACATTATTTCTTCATCATTAGCATAAAATGTACAGCCAACCCCATTTTCAGTTTTGGAGCCATCAGTAAAGATGGTTAGGTGGGACTCTTTGAGAGGCTGAGTTGCTAAGAGCAATCAGAGATAGGAAGGTAGAGTGTCACTAATACATTACCTCCTCTCTAATGATCATTAGAGAGGAGGTAATGTATGATCATTGTCCAAGGAAAGTGCTGGAACAGCAAAACTACAGGAGAGGAGGTAGGACCAAATATCCAAATTTCCATCAAGAACCTGAAGGATAGGCACAGGTTGAAGTAGTCCTGTATACCTGGACCAGAAGTAATAGAGCATGCCTCTGGGCACTAAAGAGCCTTCTTTTCATGTAGATCATATCATTGTTCTCCACCCAAGCAGCAGAGGGGCATAGGAAATAATTGGTACAAATACACTATCATAAATTATTTCCAAATTTTCTTTATGGAGATCCCAACCTGTCTTCCCAGCCCATTAAAAATAATGCTGGTCCTGTCTGTGATATACCTTATATATATTGATACCAATGATAACTTGTGGTCAAGATACAATACATCCCCAAATATTTTATTTGCTTGTAGCACTTGATGCTAGTACCACCCATCCTAATTTTGGAACACTTAGAGGGACTGTTTTCTTTTGGCAGTGAATACAATAACCTTACATTTTCCGGGATTGAAAGAGTCTGTTTGTAAGGAACCAAGTCCGAGCATTATTTTTATTTACTTTTATTTTTGCTTTTTTTATATTATATTTATTTTATTTATTTATTTTTTACTTGTTTGCAAGTTATAAAAATATACATTTACTAGTTATGATTTTGTTTTTTTCCTCATTACTTTGNTTTATTTTTTATATTATATTATATTTTTGTTTGGGGCTTATGTTTTGTTAGGACAAAGGTTTCCTCACCATTCACCTTAGAAACTTAAAAATAGAAGAGAAACCAATTCATCGACGAGAGAAAAGCGCCGTAGAAAAAACTCGCGCACACTCGCGCTCCCAAGTGGAAAAAAGTAAGTCCGCACCAAGAAAAGGGGGGAGACCCCACAAGCACAACTTAGGGACTCGCTAAACCGTAAAGAATAAAAAACATCCTAAAAATTGTCAAAAAGAATAATGTAAAAGGTTAGCAAGTATTGTCAGAAAATAGGCTGCCAGACAAATAGAAAAAGTTTATTGTTAGCAAATAAGTATGTAAATGAGGGGAGTGATCGCATTCAGAATTGTGACATCACCTCACAGCATAAAGTCTGAACATCAAGTGAAGATAAACGAGATGAGCTTCTGTTAGCAACGAGCGTGGTGAGCTTTGTAGCAGCAAATGAGAGAGAGGTGTCCGATAGGATAAAATAGTTCCAAGGCGATTTTGAAGTTATTCGATTTGTGGATCGACAATTAGAGAAAGTCTTGAGAGTTGAGAAAAAGGGTTCCTGGTATATTGAGGTGACGATTAGGATCTTTAATTCATAAGAATTATTGTACATAAATTAAGTCTTTGATTTTTGTCGAATTCCAAAGGGGAATAGAATTAAGTTAGAAAATAGATTGATTTGAGTTTTGTCGGGTTGATTCTTATTGATTTTCATTGAATAAATTGTTATTTGATTTTACTAAATATTATTAGAATTTTTTATTAAATATTTGATTTGTTTTTGACAAACTTTGTCATTATTTAATTCAGTGCACGCTTAAAGTCCAGGCCTGGTACACTAACGCGAATCCGTGTAAAGTACCCGTTAGGGAACAGCTATTTCCGGCACATAGTCGTGTCAATAATTGTTGGAAAAGTTGGAAAAATAATGTAGTACTTTACGTGTTGTTTCTTCCCCACTCCAAGACCCTGTTAAATACCACATTTGTTCTCTCCTCCAGGTGCCACTGAGAATAGTCTGCAATCAGGAGAAAGAAGTCATCAGCGTAAGCAAGCTTAAAGTCCTCCCCAAACTTCTGAACAAGGAAATCATTGAAGAGAACATTCCACAAAGCAGGGCCAATAACTGACACTTGTGGGCATCCCTGTTCAATATTTCTCTCAAAAGAAAGGTTACCATTAAAGAGGACTGCTTTCATCTCTTTAAAGTAATTGATAATGATTTTATAGATGTTGTAGGGACATTCCATGTCCCAGAGCCTAGAGAGAAGGAGAGGCTACCAAACTGTGTTGAAGACATTTTCAATTTCCAGATTAGTACCAAGTACATAAAAAAAATTGTGCTGTGGAAGCTTAATCTGTGTAAATAGCCACTTATAATGTCCAAGTGAGATAACCATCTTGTAATTCAGTAATTCATTTAAAAAGAAGAATATCGATTTTTTCTCTTTATCTTTAAAGCAGTGCTGTATTCATGCCTGAATGTATCAGGGAGGTACCTAAATACTTTTTTTTAAGTAGGGCAAAGCCCTTGTACTTTGTGAACATCTAGGTTGAACTTTAGCCTATGTACTATAACAGGGGTGGCCAACCTGCGGCTCGCGAGCCACATGCAGCTCTTTGAAGGATTATTTGTGGCTCTCGATAAATGTACCTGAGTTCCCTTTTCATTTTTGTGTTTATTATATTTTAAAAAATTATTATCGTTCCGTATGTGTTTCAAAATGTCTTTTAAATTACTAACAACAAATATGAAAGACTAAGTGCAACGTTGTAACAAATTTCATTTCCGTCCAAGTTAAGAATGATATGACTCATCGAAAACTGTGCGAACGAACATAAACAGTGGCGTAATCATCCATTATCGACCGACTCCAGACTGATTTTGAATTTCTAAACTGTCATTGCAACAGACAGTTGACATTGTGCTCTGGAGGAAACAATTTGTATCACTCTTGCTATGGATATAATTTGTAATCTGTAATTTTTTGCATACCTTTTTAATATGTATGTAATTGCGGCTCGCGAAAAATTTCAAATTTTGAAAAATGGCTCAGACTATCAAGGAGCTTGGCCACCCTGGTACTATAAGGTACCTTGGCCAATAAAATGAGAAAATTATTTCTTGCATAGTTTTTTGCACTGATTAGCAATATATAGGTTTGGCATGGCAGATTTAGGCACTTTTGCAGATATTGTGCCGCAAAGTAGTGCATTGCTCATACGAAACTCCATAGATGGTGGTGCCTCTGTAGATAGTAGTGATTCAAACTTGGGTACCAGTTAGCACCAAGCACTTTAAGTTACAACTACATCCCTGCTTTAAAGGCAAATGGACTTTATCCAACTGGTTAACATATCTCTAGAAATGATATCACATTACCTAGTTAATCAAGTTAACAAGTCAATTGAATGGCAGTTTGTTTTAAATACATGAAAGTGCAAGTGACATTTATAAGATGTAAATTTATATATTTATATTTATAATAAATATAAAATTAAATAATTGTTTTTAATTAATTCTAATACATATTATTTACTGAAAGATTGTGCGTGAAGTGTTTAGTTTTAATTTGTGTACATTCCAGCTTTTGGAGACTTGGAGACTTCAGTATCCTGCAACATAATTTAATAAATAATAACTAGTCTTCATTAAAATATAAAATACACAGTTATTAGAAATCTTATATCTTTTGTTTTAAAATTTTACAATAAAATTTTTACAAACAAATTATCATCATCATCTTTAAATCTTATTATTTCAAATAAAATTTTAAGATTTCTAATACAATTCTGTATTTTTATGAAAATGCAAACAAAAAGATGATATTCTTTGTAATAAGAATGAATATAAATGATTAGTTTCTTTGTCTTTTAAAATGCAAATTTTGGAGTCTAAAATTTGAGAAAAGAAAACTTACTTTCGGGACAAAACTGAACGGATTTGCAATAAATAATTAAGTTTGATAATTCTCTCGCTATGCGAAGAGTTCGTTCCACTTCACGTCCTCTTTTCAACTACAAAATTAATGTTTTAATCAGCAATGAAATAAATAATATATTTAAAATTTAATCTGAAATATCCAATATTAATAATCTTTAAGCTAACTGCAACAGAATGCAAACATAAATTACATATAATCTACAACTACCGTGTAAATGTATTAGACGAAACAATACATAGAGACAAAAATTAATTAAATTCAGTATCTTTCTTATTCTTTAATTTCAATTTCTGTTTCATGATAATCATAAATATAATAATTAACTCCAATTATTAACTGTCGACATCATCATCATCATCAAATAATCTTTATTACTTATGTGAGGTCCCAAAAACGGGTTGAAATTAAACATTTATTATTAGAAATTTATTAAAACGAAACTAGAAAAAAAATTGTCTATTGTTAAAAACCGATCAAAGATCAAATTAGTTGTGCTAGTCACACGAAACCGCGACAAGAAGAAGAAGAAAAAAAAATGCTATTGATGTAAACATAACACAATAATTAAATGATTAATAATTGTAAATGAATGACCTCCAATAGAGATGGACCTTTGACAAGTCACTCATATACAAATAATTAGAACATAAAAATTTTGAAAAGAGGAAAGGTTAATAACGAAAAGGGACATTGTGTGTTCACGTCGGGTCGTTAAATTTAAAAAATGTCACAGATTAGACAACAATGGTGGAAAATATGAGTGCAAGTTTCAAAGTTCCATCAACATTTCGCATCCAGAGTAACGGATGGTGTCAAGTAGATTCTTCAAAGTGGATCTTTCTGGTGACTTGAACAGGAATCATCTTTTGCTTAGAGACAGACGAGGAACCAATCGGGAAGCGAGAAAAAAGGGACATGGAGCCAATCAGAAGAAAACAAAACAAAGAACGTAAATTGATATAATCCCCGATCTTCAAGGACAGACTCACTTTCTGAAAATTGTGCAACTCTGCACCTGCACACGGTTAGTCAACACACAGGAGCAGTTTTCCATCTGTTGTGCGCAACTTGTAATCTGTGACTACGGATTCAGACCGCCAACACCGACTGACGAATCTCCACACCTGCCATTGCCCCAAGGCCTACCTTCGAGCAACATTAGAAAACACCCTCAACAATTTGAACACCCAATTGTTTAAAGAACATTTTTGTTTCATAGTGTAAGTTATTTTACGTTTAAAATAAACGGGATTTTGTGAGATTCTTGTCATCTGTGTCTCCTCCGCCACACCCACATGTGAATGACCCTAGATCATCCTGACGCGAGATTAATAATTCACCCTGGAAGTCAGCGAACATACACTTAGCCTGACACCACCTGGCATAATCAGGCAAAAAATTATAGAAAAGATTACATTGATGTTACATGCTGATGACAATTGCAAAATAATCCAAAGACAAATGTTAGGATAGTAGTAGAGAGAAAAAGAGAAAATAAATAAACAAAAAAAAACAAAAAAAGCAAAACTAAAAAAATAAAGTAAATAAATGCAAGTATATGCATAGACATAGCTGCATTACATTATACAGTTAAGTGTTACCACACTTCTAGTTCATTCTAGAGCAAAAACAAAAACGTACATTATATTATAGTAAGCATGCCACATAATAGATGGTGATACACCTCAGGTTGACATATATCATTACAGGTGAAGGAACACATAATAAGTTTGTTGAATACATTAGGGCAGTCTTTAGCCTGCACAGAAGGTCTTGAGTCACAGATAAACAATAATGCACATCAAGATGCCACTTGTAGATTAACAAATATCACTTCTAGTCAGATAAAGTTTGATAAGCTCTTTGAAGAGGCTAAAATGGGCCTTATTATGAACAAGGAAGTCTGGGTTTGTAGGCCAGTCCATATTGTTTAGATTTACTTGCTGCCTCCAGAGGTGCCTAATATCCTCAAACACGGGACAGTTGAAAAGATAGTGTAATACACCATCTTGAGTATCACAGAGATTACAGTGATCTTTATCTATGAGTTGGAATCTCTTAAGATATACACAAAAGTGTCTGTGTTCAGTTAAGAATTGCATCAGTTCATGAATGGGCTGCATCCATTTGTTCTGCATACAGTTTTGGATCTTACTTCCAACATAAACTAAAAATGGTGCTTAATTCCACTTTTATGTCTTTCACTAATGTTTTTGAACCTTTGATTCTTCACCAGGTGAAAAACGGGCAAACCAATTTACATTCAATTGAGCTGATCTTTTTTGAAAGAATTCTGAAATGGAATATCGTCGGAAACCTTTATTTAATCAAGCCAGGATAATATACACCATTTGCATTTGATGGAAGTGATTGATATACACAAAGCAGCTCAGGGTAACAATTGTATCAACAGCAAAGAAGAAATATCATTATCAGTAGCGTAGCAAACCCTGGTATACGACACATGATGAGATGAAAGTTAGGCTCACAATGGCGCATGCGCAAATGATGACAACGATTGCACGGGTTTCCGACGATATTCCATTTCAGAATTCTTTCAAAAAAGATCAGCTCAATCGAACGTAAATTGGTTTGCCCGTTTTTTCACCTGAAGAAGAACCAAAGGTTTAAAAGTGAAAAAATAATATTGGACTTCACACCGAATATTGGATAAGTAAAGGTGAGAAAATTATCATCTAAGCGTTAACAACCTACAGCTATCACTACAAACAACTAGCGCTTTCAACGAAACTATTTTCGTCTTCTTCAGGTTGATAGAACAGTTAATAACTTTCAAATTCAAATTACAGCAACGGCAAACCAGCATTGGAATAAACTCAAAATAGAACAAAACAGAGAATTTGAAAGATGCGCGCTCAATGCCGACGCGCATGAGCAATAGATTATTTTGCGAGAATGCGGAGCTAGTGATGTTGTTTTAACCTGTTGTATAAGTTGACCCACAAGGAAGGCACATCCAGCGTGGGGGTGTTGCATGGATTTAGCAACGCTGGTAAATAGTACCTCCCATATATACAAGAGGTTCCTGCTATCACACTGTTTGAGTATCCCCACTTGGTTTCACATCAGAGTGTATTGGTGTTGCAACACCAATCTTGCCAACTCAGTGTCGCACCTACCCATACTAATAGATTGTTTGTGTTCGGAGATGCGGCAAGACAACATTCTGGATGTCGCTCCGATATACTGGGTATGTGTACCGGCTATTGTACTTTCCAATGGGATGGAATACACTCCAGACTGCTCTAGCACAAAAAAAGGATCCCTGTCATTGCATAACACTCTTCTAAGGTTTGGTCGCGGCAACACTGGCAGGAAAAGCGCATGCTGCCTAAAAATACGGCAAATGCGGCCAGTAATATGGCCACAGAATGGTAATGACAGCTGGATTATCGTACATTCTTCCGAGGCCTGCAAAGTTGTGTCAGGAAATAGAGACCGTTTAACTTTTCTAAGGATGTACCTGTACTTATATCTAGCATAACCTGCCGCACTTATAGCTTCAAGCTCGATGTTGACAAGAGCTTGATTGGAAGACAACAAAAAGGCCCTTCTAATTAGAGGGGCAATAGCTGCGTTGACGTAGTGCTGCGGTTGGTACGCGGTGGCAGGGATTAAAGGAGGTATGCTGTTGAACTTATGGAACATGGAGAACTCTATCCCATCCTGGGCTTTGGTGATCTTTAAATCTAAAAACGCAATCTCACCTCCCTTTTCCTTTTCCCAGGTAAACTTAATGGTAGAATAAACCTCCATAAGATAACTTTTGAGGATACGGAATTTCTCTTCCGTGTGTTGCCAGGCTACTATGATATCGTCCACGTATCTAAGATATAATAGCGGGTATGCTACGGTGAGAGGGGAGCTAAATACTCTCTGCTCAACACGCCTCATGAGTAATTTTGCCAATATATCAGAGAGCTCATAGGTACCCCTTGTTTCTGTAGATATACTTTCCCGTTGAACCGAAAGTAATTATTTTCCATGATAAAAAGCAAGGCCTCTCGTATTTCTAGGATTTGCTGCGCTATAAAGCTCTCCTTAACAAGCATAGCATTGGCAAGCATAACCACCTCAAACTGTGGTACCAAGTGCAACCACATCCATCTTGTAGAAGTTGTAATTGCTATGGGATAGATTATCCAATACAGAAGAAATAGCGGCCTTTGCTGCAATGGACGATGACGTAACTAGGGGCGATGGAGGAAGGAGCCCACCCAGTAACTTAGCTATAGCCTTCTCCAGGTGGTAGGTTGGGTGGGACCTTTTATTAACCAGCAGTTTTAGAGGCCAGTTCTCCTTATGGGTTTTTACTTCAAAAAAGAGCCTAGGACAAGCTACATTGGGCGGCGGATCCACACATGCAGGAAGAGCGGAAATACTTGGAAGAGATATTATTTTCCTAGCCTTCCTTAGTACCGAAGGGGTTGGATCAGACTGTAAAACTTCAGCATGGGAAAGCCTGAGGAAATCCGAGGCTCTGGTCAGAAAATCCTCTTCCTTGCACAAAACAAACTTCTCCTTGTCCAAAATCAGGAGCTGTAGACCTCTCTAGCCGTAGTAATAATTTCTGACATATAAACAGAAATTATTACTACAGGTGATATAATAAAGAAATTTTGTTCTTTCCTGAACTAACTCTAATTGCTGTGCCAATCTTTAAACACCAGTATTAAGACCTATTAATAAGTAAAGTCCAAGTAGACAATTAACAATACATTAGAATTTAAGGACAGTAAGGCTTTTACAATTATTTGTTGATCACCGTTTATTTCTTTAAAATGTTCCAGAATAAATGGTGATCAACAAAGCTTTTTGGAAGCAACTATGTCTTTTTATTTAAAAAAATTTTATCATCCAGCAAAATTTTAAAATTAACAAATATTTGTGTTTTTCAGATAAATTTTTGTTCATCTCTTTTATAATAAATGAATTTATCTATTTCTATGTAGAAATTAAAAGTGTCTGTAGAAGTAATTTTTTAAAATATCCTTTTTCGTGATAAAGATTTAATACTTATTTCTATAATCTAGACATGTTAATCCTTAAATA